GGCGGGGTCGACGAGGCCCCGCCCCCGGAGCCCCTGAGAGTCCTGGGGGTGCTTACCTACCCTTTTCCTGGTAGTCGGGGACGCACCTTGCTGCCAGGGCCAGGGCTGCCCCAGGAACCCCTGGTTTCGCGCTAAGCTGGTGCAACACCGGGCAAACGGAAAGAAACCGGGTGTCTTGGAGGGAGATGTTGGAAATCTCACGTGCACCCCTCCCCCATTGGTGTGTCTGGGATCCCGAAATGACAGGTTGTAGAGGGGAGGCCCTGTGAGGGCTCATCCGCTGTGTCCGTAGCCTTTGAGGCGGGAGGAAGGTGTTTGGACCTTTGTTTACCAGTTTACCAGGGAGGAAATAGGTTGGGAGGCGGATGCTTGCTTTTGGGTGGATGAGAACATCCTATTTCCTTTGGGTGGATAAGGCCCCAGCCCCTGAGCTGGGTCTATCAGCAATTCAGAAGCAATCGTCGCTTTGCATATCTTGAACTGATTGAATTATTATTACAGGGGAAAGATCCTAAAGATTTTTTTTTTAATCCTCACCCAAGAATATGTTTCTGTTGATCTTAGAGAGAGAGGAAGGGAGAGAGAAAGAGAGAGAGAGAAACATCGATGTGAAAGATGGATCGGTTGCCTCCTGTACGTTCTGGACCAGGGATCGAATCCGAAACCTAGATAAGTGCCCTGACCCGGAATCGAACCCCCAACCTTTTGGTGTACTGGACTTCGCTCCAGTCAACTGAGCCACTCGGCCAGGGCAATCCTAAAGCTCTTTAACCCTTATTAGAAGTGACAGCTCTTTGTTGAATCAGCTGGACAGTGGAAAACCCTACAACTGGTCCTTCAAGGGTAGTTTGTACTAAGTTCATTGTTTTTCCAGATTACCTCAAACTAGCCTTTTTTGGTCTAAAGGAAGTCCCCCAATAGTGTATATTCCTTTTGAAAAAGAAAAAACCATGGCTGTGCAATTCAGATGTGCATACCCCAAGCAGTAGAGTCTCTCTCTCGTGTAACAAGGTAAGTGCGAACCTTGGAGAGCTAAAGCAGTTACAAAATGCCAAGGGCTACTACCTCTTGCAGCAGATGTTAGTATCCGACGCCAACATTTCATTCCCGTCTTTACAATTTCTGTTGTTTTCCTTTACACTTGAACACGAAGTAAGCCTCATGATGTCCACACTGAGGCTCTCAGGACACCCTATGGTTCCTGGCTTATCTAAGTTGTATTGAATTATGACACCAATGTTGTCAGCATCAGAACATAGTGTTATCATTTTCCACCAATTTTTATAAGACGAAAAGGGCAGGATGCAATAAATTTTTCACGTTCTCACATAAATGCTGCTCTTCAAAGATCGCGGTGCTGGGGAAATTGAGCCAGTAAGTGCAGGATACAAAAGGCAGTTGAAGAGTTTCCGTATGTGGTAATGGGCAGGTTGTTTAAAGAAACCTTTACCCGATCTCCTGGGCAGGGAAAGCAGTCAGTTGGGTGGTACTTTTGAAAAGCAAGCTTTCATTTATTAGGTGGAGCAGATTGAGAAGAAGTTTGCAGCCAGGTGGGAGGAACGGCAGGTCCCAGCTCTGCTCTGCCTCCGTGTCACTCTTCTCGTGTATAATTAGATGCTTAGACTAGATCAGTGATGGCGAACCTTTTGAGCTCAGCGTGTCAGCATTTTGAAAAACCCTAACTTAACTCTGGTGCCGTGTCACATATAGAAATTTTTTGATATTTGCAACCATAGTAAAACAAAGACTTATATTTTTGATATTTATTTTATATATTTAAATGCCATTTAACAAAGAAAAATCAACCAAAAAAATGAGTTCGCGTGTCACCTCTGACACGCGTGTCATAGGTTCGCCATCACTGGGCTAGATGACCTCTGAGATCTTTTCTATAATACATTTTAGTTTCTGGAAAGTTAACGGCAGTCTTCTCTTTCAGCCCTGTTGCGTGAGAACATTGTCCTGAGACCGAGTCGGTAGACACCCAGAAGGAAGAAGGGAGAGGCAGTTGGCTTTCTGGGGCCTGGCTGCACAATCGTTGGACCTTTGGGGTCTGGGGAAGGTTCAAGATCAGAATGCTATTCTTTGATATTCTGTAGCTCCTGCGACGGCATTGGGTGGATGGCCCCCAGACCCCTCTCCCTTGGGAAACAGGCACCGTATTCAGAGAGGTGGGCTGGCCACGCCTCATTTGTGAAGGGGCCTGGGAGCAGCATCTGCAGTTGTAGTGAGAAGGTGCCACTGTTCTGCCCTCTGCCGGCAGCTGTACCCACCAAGTTAGAGTCACGGACCTGAGAGGCCTCTAGGAAATTCCCAAGTCTATGTTTTCATTTTACATTTGGGAGACCAGGTCCAGAGCAGACAAAAATTGGTTCAGGAAAACCCCCGAAAGGCAGGCCCTGCCCTCTGTTCTGAAGGGGCCTTAGGGCGGGTCTAGGAGTCCTGGAACTCTGCAGGACCTGCCAGGTGGCAGTGGGGGCTGTTACCATCAATGTCTTTTCAAAACCTAATGGCAACTACGTTTACTCTGGGATGGTAAGACACTCAAGCCAGATAATGTGTAGGGGTCCGTGCCTACTGTGTGGCACACGAGTGACGTGTGGTTACCGACTCATGCTGTTCAGCTCTGGTTGTCAATCATAGAAATACTTGATTCATGAAAAATGGAGAAACATTTTTATTTAATAAATGTACTGTGATGGGTAGGTAAATGGGAAAATAGTAGATGTGGTCCTTTGTGGGGTACAGAGTTGCTGAGCATTTGACAGATAAGTAAGTTGTCCCAGAAAGGGACTGTGACTCCTCGTCAGGTGGAGCCAGCACCTGGCACTCACTCCACTGGCCATCTCTTGCCCTGTGATTCAAGTGATCATTTTGGAAAAGTCAGTGACACGTTGAGGTTTCTTTATAAAAACTTTAGGCCTAGATTTTTTCCTTTATCAAGGAAGTCATACTTTGAGTATTTGGTACAAGCCATCTGAAGCTATTGTTTGGGAAAGTAATGATTTACATAGCACTCTGGTGATTGCCGATAAGTGCTTTTTAAACTCTTCGGAAAATTCCTTTGGCATCCCTGGTTTGAGTTTTGTTTCTAAACAAAGCAACAGGGGTCATGGGGGAAATTATCCGGCATCTGTCTAAAATTAAGAGACCTTTTTGGTGTTTATTACATCATAAAAATATCAAAGTCTGGTTTTAAAGATAAAAGAAAGTCAAAGAGGCCTTACATTTCTGGAAAGTGCCAGAGCGCCTGAGTCCAAAATCAAAATCATTGCAAGCTTCTCCGTGAGCTCTGGGGGCTTCTTGGTGAGCACGGGGGGCCTGCCTCACGAGCTTCGGTCCTGTCGTCAGGATGCAGATGTTACGGTCCCCGCCTGGAGGGGGCCAGATGTGGGCCAGATGTGCACTGCTGTTGAACCCTTGTTGTCAGCAGGATGTGTGTTTATTGCTGCCGAAAGCCTGGTGCCTGGTGGCCAACTCAGGCCTGTTTGTCCATCACTTGACCCAGCGGAGCCTCTGCGCCAGGATCCTCCCCTCTGTGTGGAGACGTGACCCTCATAATGAGCCTTCTTGCTTTACTCATAGGTGGGAAACTACCTCCGTATGTTCCGAGGTTCTCTGTACAAGAGATATCCCTCACTCTGGAGGCGACTAGCCACTGTGGAAGAGAGGAAGAAAATAGTTGCATCGTCACATGGTAAAAAAACAAAACCTAACACTAAGGGTGCGTCTTCACGAGGGTTTGTAAACCTGTTTCAAAACCACTCGCTTATGTCATGAAGATAAAACGTTTTCACTCCAGAGTGTCTTCACTGCAGCCCTGACCTTAGCGTGGCAAGGAGCATCCTAGGGGCAGGGCACACGTGCAGCTCAGGCAAGAAAGTGGCTCCAGGGAGCCGGTGGCGGTCCTTTACCAGGTATTCTTAACGGGACCAGAGGGTGTATTAGGGGGGTCGGGCGGAACAATAGCGGGTGCTGTGAAGACATGTTGGTCTCAAAACGTTTTAGGAATGCTGTGATGCTCTGCCATCTGCCGTGGCGTCTCGCCATCGCCATCCTTCATGCAGCCCGAGCGGCGGGTGGCGGCCCCAGCTCCCACTCCCCTCTGGGGCTTTCACCGCTTCGCTTCTTAGAGCACATCCATCCCATAGCATTTCATTCTGGCAGCCAGTGTGCTAGAGCTCATGTGCATGTCCCTGCTCGTTGTGCCTGAGGTGTGCCTGGGGCTGGCTAGGTGAGCCGCCCGACTCTAGTGACGGTAGAGGCACTAGCATGCTTCAGCCGTGGCAGCTCTGTGCAGGGCGAAAGGATGCTCTTCAGATCTACCAGGAAAGTCTCATGGTCCATTTGTTCAGCACAATGTTCAGCAGATGGGGAAAGTGCTTCCCACTTGGCAATGGCCCCTTGTAGAGAGCTGCTTGTGCGTGTGCGTGTGTGCGTGCGTGTGTATGTGTGTGTGTGTGAGAGAGAGAGTGAAAGCACGCTTTGCAGTCTGTCCTGTTTGGTTGTGTCTATAGGTGCTGCTGTGGTCTTGTCCACTGTGGACAAAGTAGTGGTTCTTTTAATGCAGGAGCCGGAGCTTTTTTTTAATCTGCTGCTATAACATTTCCACTCACTTTAAAAAGCCTCCTTTTGGTCCTCCCTCCGCCCCGGGTGGAGTACCAGTCACTAACGCAGTGAGTCCCAGCTTGCTTTCCCCTCCGCAAATCTCAAAGGAAGTCTCGGCGACCCTCCCGCCTTGTGCTTTGGAAACACTCCCCCATAACTGCTTCGTTTCTCCAGGAGAAGCCAGGCTGGACCCGCAGGCAGGTAGTAGCTCTTGACTCGAGTTTCCCAGAAGAGCTATGAGTCAAGGTGCCTAGAATCTGTCCCGCTTCCCAGACTATTGACTGGCCCAGGGCCAGGAGTTCCTGTTCGGTGTGAAGCAGCTCTTTCCAACTCTCTGGGCTCTTGTTTTAAAAGAAAAGTCTTTTTCATCTTTCATTCCATCTCTCCACTTTGCTTCGTGTTGTGACTGCCGTGGTGTCAGACCTCTTCCCACTGGTGTTATACTCTGGAGCCTTCTTCTCTCCTGAGAGCCCCTGCTGGCTGTGCTGCGCTGCACCTGCCGCCGCTGCCCTGTGCACTTCCTCTGTGCCCGGAGCGAGTGCTCCTGGGACCAGTATGTCCAAAGAAATCCTCAGAGTGTGTATCCAGTAGGACCTCTAAGTAAAGCACTCAGTCCAGACTGCCCTTTTGGAAGAGGCCGCATTCAGCAGTAGTGAGGTTGACACCTGCTTTTCTCACCTCCTGCATGTGAGGATCTTGATGTGCTGCATCTACTGGCTACTGCTGGTCGCTGCCCCCCCAGCAGGGTGACCACAGCTGTGTCTCTGGTTACAGATCATGGATACACAACCCTGGCCACCAGCGTGACTCTGTTAAAAGCCTCAGAGGTAGAAGAGATTCTGGACGGCAATGACGAGAAGTACAAGGCCGTGTCCATCAGCACGGAGCCCCCCACCTACCTCAGGTAACAACCCCCTGGCCAGGCATGCTCGTGCGACACCTGCGGGCATTTTTCTCATACTCTAGAACTGGTTGGCGTTAAGTCAAACCAAAATTCTTTCTTTCTTTCTCTCTTCCTTCCTTCCTTCCTTCCTTCCTTCCTTCCTTCCTTCCTTCCTTCCTTCCTTCCTTCCTTCCTTCCT